GCGATATCACGCCTTTCTCTGGTTTAGTGTGAAGTAGTAGCAGTTTTAAGGTTTTGGTCTACAAGCTGATGACATGAACCTGAAGAGTCGTCAATAGCAACAATACGAAGAGGCAGGACGAAGTTGACAGTGTGCCGCACAGTATCTGAATATGTGTGTATGTGTGCGTGTATATATGTGTGTATGCATATATATATATATATTCCCTATACATCAGCCGACAGAAAAAAGCGGATTCGATTGGTAGTTTCAAGCGGATTGGGTCCGATTGATATTTTCAAGCGGATCCACTAGTTTTCTGTGAGTGAGAACCAAGCGAACCAAAAACCTAGCGGGGAACCAACAGGAGAATGGAGCACAAACCAAGCGGAGCATTTGGCCAGGCTTGCCTGCGATTTCTGGTTTCACAGGTTTTCACAGGTTTTCACAGGTTTTCACAGGTTTTCAGAGGTTTTCAGAGGTTTTCAGAGGTTTTCACAGGTTTTCACAGGATTTCACAGGATTTCACAGGTTTTCACAGGTTTTCAAAAATTTTCGCAAGTTTTCATAGGTTTTCACAGGATTTCACAGGTGTTCACATGGTTTCACAGGATTTCACAGGTTTTCAAAGGTTTTCACAGGCTTTCACAGGCTTTCACAGGTTTGCACAGGTTTGCACAGGTTTTCACAGGATTTCACAAAATTTCACAGAATTTCACCGATTTTCATAGAATTTCACAGATCTTCACAGACTAGTCTGTGAAATTCTGTGAAGATCTGTGGTTGTCTGTGAATTTCTGTGAAAACCTGTGTGCTTCAGACTTTCGGGTTGGGTTCGATGTTTTTGGTGTGCTGGTCACGGGAAACCAAGCGAAATCGCCGATGAAAAACCTGGCGGAAGCGGTGATAAAAACTTAGCGGAGAACCTAGCGGAGACAATAGCACCTCAACCGATTCCTAGCGGGTCCGATAGAAAATACCAAGCGCACATGGTATTTTCAAGCCTGCGATGGTTAGGGTTATATATATAATATAATATAATATAATATAATATAATATAATATAATATAATATATAATATAATATATATATATATATATGATATGCGTTTCTCTCTGTGTGTGTGTGTGTCCGTCTGTCTGCGCATGTGTTGTTGGAGCATATCTCTCGGCAAGTCGCGCCCAAATCCGACATGCTCCACGACCCCGTCTAGTTGCAGTGTTCAGTCTGGATCCCCTTGCAGTATTTGCTGAACCCTAAACCCTAAACCCTAAACCCTATTTAATGCTTGAGCGGTGCGAAAAATCAATCGTCAGGGCCGGGATGCTTTGAGCCACAGCAGGGTCGAAGAGTCCACCCTCCTCTGCCGTGAACACGCGAGCCTGGTATCATCATCTAGGGGTTTAGGGTTTAGGGTTTAGGGTTTAATAAGGCTTGCGAAGATGCACTGGGAGTTGGTACGTGTTTCGGATTCCCTGGGTTTCACAAGTGCTTTTGACGCATTGAGCCAAAAAATAATCCTGCCTCAGTTGATATAGGGCATAAGTACTTAGAACAGGGTTTAGAGGTATAGCAGTTAAACGACATGGGAACAGAAAGGGGCCACGCTTACTAAGTGTCAGCACTTGTTGCGCCAAGCGTGACGGCAGCACGCTGAGCAGGCGGAAGAACTCGCGAGCAAGACCACCTTCGTCCACGCCTTGCTCGCCTGGTCCAAAACCCCAGTCAGAGATAACTCCGCAAACACATTTTTGCAGAGGCCGGCATGACCTCTTCAAGTGCAGGTCATTGGGATCATCGCCCCGCACCCGAACCGAGGTCTACCTAGAATAGGGTTTGGGAAAACAGCGGTTTAGGGTTTAGGTAACAGTCCTTTTAAATACTGCGCGCGAAACTCTATGCCGATGCTCCGCCATCTTACATGACTCTTCAAAGCAGTCCTAGCAGCTTCATCTGTTACAACAATTACCATAGAAGATGAATCCAAGCAGCGCTTGTCTAAACTGATGTTGTTACTAGCCAGACTCGCGCCTCAATCATTGCATACTGAAGTTTCACGGCAAGTTATTACTGCGAGTCTTCCTTAGTCACGTCTAACCCTGTAAACCCTTAATCCTAAACCCCAGACCCGAAACCCCAAACCCAAAACCATTCTAGCCGAAGTACTCTGCGGCCTTCGGAGACCACTTCAACCCTATGCCTATTAGCGCCCCTAAACCCTAATGCCTAAACCCGGTAAATGCGAGGGCCTTCGAAGACCACTTTGAGCTGCCTCCGTAGATCCTCGGGTGTCGCCTTCTGCAGCGCGCGCGTGGTGTCCTGCCGCCAGGGGGGAGCCTTGGGGTTTAGCGGGCTTGGGCTTTATTTAGGGGTCTAGGGGTTTCGGGGGTTTGGCGGTTTGGGGTTTATAGGGGTTTAGGCTCGGGGTTTACATGGCTTTAGGGTTTGGGGTTTAGGGGTTTGGGGCTTGGGGGTTTAGGGGTGTGGGGCTTGGGGGTTTAGGCGAACCTCAAACCAATCAGGTTGCAGCACTCCAAGAACAAAGGTCTGATACGTTCAAGACCCTGCCACCCTCATTATTCAACCCTGCCCAAACGCCCCCACACCCCACAGCCCCATATCCAGAAAACCTCAAACCTCCCTTCACCGCACACACCCGGCACCTCTGAAAGCTTAGGGTTCAAGGGTAAAACCCCGACGACCCTTTAATGCCCTCACACTGTTCAATATCGGAACACACTTCGTAGCCTCAGAAAAGCCGCCCTCTCGCCCAAACCTCCATAAACTGCGGCCTTTCTGGGCGTTAAGAATCCCTTGCCTTCTGGCGTTTTCCAGACCATAAACACACAAAAAACCCAAAACTGCAATCTACAAGCCCTAAATTCTAGAGTTTCCCTCAACTTTCCATCTCAGCTTCTTACACCCTAAACCCTAAACCCTAAACCCTGAACCCTAAACCCTAAGCCCTAAACCCTAAACCCTAAACCCTAAACCCCTAAACCCTAAACCCTGAACCCAAAGGGTGTCTTCCGGGCTGTCTCTAGACTTTCCGAAGTCCTCGAGGATCCGGTCTCGGTGCACCTTGAGGATGAAGAAAAGAAGCGCCTTGGTAGAGTGGCTTTAGGGGTTTATGGTTTAGGGTTTTAGGGTTTTAGGGTTTAGGGTTTTGGGCTTTGAGGTTTTTTGGTTTAGGGTTTTGGGGTTTTGGAATGGGGCTTTAGGGTTTAGGTTTGGAGGTTTTACAGTAGGGTTTCAGGGTTTTGGTGTTTTGAAATAGTTTTTTGAGGTTTAAGACTTTAGTTCTTAGTCAGGGTTCTCTGAGGGATCTGTAGTCAGGATCAATACAAGGGTTCCGGCAGGGTTTACGGATTCAAGGTTTCTGCTAAGGATCTACTATAGAGGCCTTACTAATTAGAACAGGGTTTTGGAGTACATTATACTAAAAATATAATAAGGAAACCCCTAAACCCTGAACCCTAAAGGTATCCCCCTAAACCCTAAACCCGAAACCCTAAACCCTGAAGGTAATTAGTAAGGCCCCAATTTTAGGATGAGGAACTCTCAGGGATGGTAGCAGCTTCGAAGTCTTCCATAAGGCCCTTGTCTGTCTGGTGCTTAGTAGGGAATGGGGGAATGGGTTATAGGGACTACTATAAGGGACCTTAAGGGACTATCATAGGGATCCATTCCCAGGTCCCACATTCCCTACTAAGCACCAGACAGTTGTTCACAGGCTGAGCTCTCGGCCTGTGAATGAGGGAATAAAGGCTTGGGTTGATACCCTGAGGGAGGCGCGCAGGAACCCAAGGTGAAGGTACTTGAGAGGGCCATGGTAGCAAACCGTGCTGCTTAATGTAGGGCCTTAATAATTAGAATAGGGTTTTGGGGGTTCCCAATATAAGTCTGGTATAAAATACCCCCAAACCCAATTGTAATTATCAAGGCCTATGTTAGACTCATCCGTATCAACCGGGATTGGCCAGGGAAGGGTCCAGCTGGAAAATGCAGCTATATCACCCAGTCTCGTTGCTACTCGTCATTGTTTATTGGCTCTGGCACTGATGTCCTAAAACCCTAATATAGGGTTGTCCTTAATAATTAGAATAGGGTTTTGGCATACATTATACTATAGTTAAAATCAGGAACCCCCAAAACCATATTCTAATTATTCAAGACCCCTACGGTAGATGATGGTGCACTCGAAACTCGGCGACGCGTGCGTAGGTAGCCCAGTCTGTGCTCAGAGCGGGATCGATGTGGATCTCGTGACCTGGAAGCACCTGGCAATGAGATATTGTACTAATCATTTTAGCTTCTGTATTGAGGTCATATGATACGACATGATATGACATGATATGATATCATACGATATGACATGACATGATGTGACATGATCTGATATGATATGAGATAGGAACGACTATGATATATGATATTACATGTAGAAAGGGCTTGACAGGTTCCCGAATCCCAGGAGGCCCTTGCGCGCACGCACACACACACACAAAGGCTAGGCTCGTGTTACGAAAAGGGTTGTGACCTGAGGTACCCGAACCCCTGATGATTTTCGTGTATTTGTTGGTTCTCAAGACCATTCGCTGCAGTGGCATGGTATCATTGCTCGTGCTTCCTGTGCTGTGCTGCTGGTAGCAGACGAACACACATCTGTAAGAACAGCGGCTGGCCCATGGAAGAAGAACCCTACTACCGCTCCCACTGCTACTGCTGCTGCTGCTGCTGCTACTACTACTACTACTACTACTACTACTAAGTATTGCGATGACGACGACGCCGACAGCGACCAGTACTGGAAGTACCATAACAGACACGACTGCTGCTGGCACTAGTGTTACTACGCTTCCTGCCCCTGCTGCTCATAGCAGCATGCAGCAGGAAAAGTAAGCTCAACTCTCAGGTAATCAGTCTGTCACATCAGTCCTCAAAACACTGCAGAAAAACCAAGACTCATGGCTTCTAGTAGGGGATTCACGGATTAGGCTGTCGGCTACGAGCACATCTGCCTCCAGGTCGGCAGCGACACGCCGAGCAACTTGATGTTGCAAGTAAACCTGCTTCTCGCTATGTGGACTGGCATGCCTTGCTTCATGGTGGGTTCGTTGCTAGTAGAAGTTGAAGCTTATGCAATTGTGCAATCTTCAAAATTAAATCGAAGCCTGGGCTCCCGCGGATACATTGCATCACGTGCTTGTCACATCCTGCCACTAAGCAACCCAACATGCTTCTCGAAAGAAACACTGTATGCAGAAAATACGACCCAAACCGGAAATCAATCGCTTGATGTACACAAGGCACGAAGTAACGATGCACCTGTGGCACAACGGTAAACCCAAGTCATCAGCTGCATGCCTGCCTGCGCATGGTGGTTTTCCACCTGCAGCACTTTGCGGGTGTAGCTGACCGGCACCTGCCATTTTGCACTCTGGGCATGAAGCAAAGAAGACAGGTCAGTGTTGATGCAAAACACACCGCAGCATATACCACAAGCAAGAGAGCCTGACTCCCAGAGTTTTGGGCCATCAGCAGTCTCTGTTGCAAGTTCTAAGCCTATCAGGGACGACTGAGGCAGGCACGAGGTTGCGATTTGCCATGAAGCTGCGCATCTTGCTGGGAAGCACATACTCGAAGCCATAGTCGGTTCGGGCGGCATAAAGCGGGAGTTCCAGGACCTGCGAAGAGCGACTTGCCGTTTCAAGCTCACGATAAGCCCTACAACCTGAATCATGTGGGTTTAGGGTTTAGGGTTTAGGGTGCTATGCACCCATTAAGCCCGATGTGCCCCAAAACCTTTACATACCCTATATCAACCCTCGCAACACTCGATGGTTCTAAACTCCTAATCAAGCCCTAAAACCCAAAAGGTTCCCAACCCCCACTTCCCCGCCTCTGCAGGCGTTATTGGACCGGCGCAGGCGTTCTCCACGAAGAGGCGGAACTCCAACTCGGGCCTTGCTGCACGCAGCGGCTATTACTGAACCCTAAACCCTAAACCCGGAACCTCTGAACCCTAAACCCTAATTCCGGAACCTCTGAACCTGGCTTAGGGATTTAGGAGTATGCGAGTAGGGTTGAGGAAATGTTGGGTTTAGGGTTTAGGGAGGGCCTTTTGCAAGGCAGCCGGAGACTCAGAAAAGGCTCCCTCTCTTAAAAGGCCTGTTTTGTCGAGGGTTGTGGAGGCGATCCCACCAGTCTTCCAGGAGTCCTACACCCTAAGAACCCTAAATAAACCCTAAAAGCCCCAAAACCCTAAAACCCCTAAAACCCTTAAAGCCCCCCCCCCTTAAAACCCCATGTACCGGAGCTGACCCTAAACCCTAAACCGCAAAACCCTAAACCCGGAACCCTAACCGGCTCAGGTCCTCGCGGAACCTTCTCCTCCGCCAGACTTTGGAGGTGGAACCTCGGAGTTGGGAAGCGCGCTGAGAGACCTTTAGTTTCCATAGTAGTTCCTGATTTCGTTTAAGCCGTTTTATAGTTTGGATCCCAGAAGGTAGCCCCAAAAAGGAACTACATGGACACTATAGGGAGGGGCTGCAATGGTTAGGAGAGGGTTGAGGGGTTTAGGACTTTGAGGGTTTAGGAGTTTAGGGTTTAGGGGTTTTGGGTTTAGGAGTTTAGGGGTTTCGGGGTTTACGGGTTTAGGGGTTAGGGGTTCAGGGGTTTGGGGGTTAAGAGTTTTTTTTTTAGGGGTTTAGGGCTCTAGGGGTTTGGGGACTTAATAAGGGTTGTGGGTTGAGGAGTTTAGGATTTAGGGGTTTAAGGGATGTAGGGCTTTAGGGGTTTAGGGTTTAGGGCTTAATGATTCGAAGAGGGTTCCTTCAAAAAAGGAGCAAGAACGAAGGTATCTATAAAGGTTAATGTAAGGGAATCTAAACGGGGTTAATATAGGGACCTTGGAAAATCATGAGAATCGGGCTTTCGGGTATGTTAAGTATAAACCTACTAAGGAACCCTCAGGAATCAAATAGATTTCTATAGTTGGAACATAATGGTCCTCATACCCTGAAGGTTAAGTAAGAGGGATCCTAGCACTAATCCTCTGAAATCCATGTTCCAACTTTCTGGGTTTCGCTGTAAGAGACACTGTACGGTTAATGTGTAGGGGCCTGATTCATAAGGAATCTTATGGGTAATTCTTCCGATCCCTATGATAGCAGGTTCCCAGGGTCATCTCCGAATTCGGCTTGTTCCGACAAGGGCTACCAGGCTTAACCACAGTCGAGCCACTGATGGATCCTTACTGCCACGACCTGCGCTGATATTCCATCGCACAGGTCGGGGCGAAAGCAAATTATCATTAGTTCTTCAAGCCCTCAAACCCCAAGCCCTAAACCCCGTGATAGATCCCATTCCCGGGCCACCGGCTCGAAAGCAGGCACGGGAGCCCGAACCTGTGGCGCCAAGGTGAAGCGTCCCAGCCTCACTGATGCATCGATGAAAGGTACGCTTACGTCATAGAGCGCATAAAGAGCAAGCCGGATTGCACAAGTATTAACCTTCTACCCCTAATTTTTATGTTGAGATTGAATACGAATAGTAATGTGCACATTGATATTCATTTCAACTGTCACCCGGGTCATCATCTGTATACATATATATGTATTAAGAATACAGACAGTCTAAGACCCGAAGACTGGACAAATAAGGCTAGGCAGGTCGCAGAAGCTGTGCTGGGCGTGGCGCAAGGTGGAGGTGGCTCCTGCAGCCTCGTCACAGTAGATCTGGTTCAGGGTTTAGGGGTCCGTGACATCGAGTCCTGAATAATTAGAGTTGGTTCTTGGGCATCATACTATGGCTATATATGGCTATATCAGCCCCTAAGTCCTAAAGTTATGGTTCTTGAGCATTACAACATGAATATATCAGGGCCTCAGCCCCTAAAGTTGAACCCCTCTAAGCAGCCACACTGGCCTCAAACTCTGGGCCATGAAGCCTATTAAGCTCCGACGAGACTGCAAGAGACTAGAGAAGCCTACATCCAAGTACCAATGATATCCCTTCCTGTTCCTGTTTCAGCTAGAGAAAAAAGTATTCCCCCCATCGCCCTATTCTAATCCTTTCGTATCAGTAGTAGTTAGTATTGTCATTATTATTACAACCATCTTGAATTAAGGCCCCCTTTATGGCCGTATAAGGACCACGAAGACGGCCTTCGCGCCCGCAAGCTGCGAGAGGGTCTGCGACAAGCTTTGTCCAAGATCCGGCTCCTCGGTCATGCAACGACCGAAATCGCCCTCGACGCGGAACACACTACCCATAGGCCCTAAAGTAGTTCCTTTTTGGGGTTCATTATATATATATATATATAGAATCCGAAAAGGTAACCCCAAAAAGGAACTACTTTAGGGCCTATGGGTAATTAATACACGTGTTCGTATGAAAGTGTGTATTAAGATATGTATAGATATACACAGCTCTTCGCATAGAGCGGAATAGCTTGTGTGGCATAGCATGACACGCGCACAGTATGTTGCGATGCAAAGAAGGCTGAATCGATTACAGTACTCACAGGAGGCTGTCATTGGAAGTTGGGGCGGAGGTCAAACAACAGTAAACATGAATGTTAAGTAGTAATCATTTTGATAATAATAATGAACCTTAAACCCTAAACCCTACACACATCTAGCAATAATTTGGGCTGAGGCCAGCACAGGCCAGTCGGAGGTGCGAAGCGACGAGGCCAGGCGAGTTGCGATGGCTTCATTGGCCCCCCAAAGCCTCAGGAGCCCGGCTGATGGGTTTAGGGTTTAGGGGTTTAGGGTTTAGGGGCTTAGGATTTAGGGTTTAGGGGCTTAGTGTTTATAGTTAAGGGTTTGGGGGTTTAGGGTTTAGGGTTTAGGTTATACAGTATATGATAGACCACAATATATTACAATGTGGCATAGCGTATTATAGAATGATATAGTATATAGTATAATATAATATAGTGAAGTAAAATGCAATGAAACATACTAGATAACATATTATCATCTGATACCATATAATACAATAATATCTAATATGTTGCAAACCAAGTTCAAGGCTAGGACATGTCCCGGCTGGTCGTAAGGTGTGGGCAACTGGAGAAGCATGAGTCCTTCCCAGATTTCTGGAGAGAGCCGCTGCCTCAGTCAACCATCGATGTAGCATCCACGGCGAAATCTGCGAAAGCTGCGCAGAAGAGCCCAGTACACACTAATGCACCGAGAAGAATCATATAACTAGGAACAACCAGCGTCCCACCAGGTGCAAGGTTCGGACATTTGGTGTGCGCGTTTGACGGTCTCGTCACAGTGGGTGCGAACTCGACCGACAAGACCTTCAGTCGACAGAACCGTCTTTCCGTCTCTCTTTGTTTCTGCCCTTGTCTCTCCTCATTTCAGTCTCTCCCGCTGACCCTGCATAAGCATCGCGCTGCGCAGAACCTCTTCTTCGGAACAGTCCTCGACCAAGACCTGGAGGCAGGCACTTCTCAAAACCCTCGCCCCCGGAACCGAAGAGCTCTTCCGGACTTCACGCCTCCTGCAGCTCCCTCCGCCCCTCTGCCGGCATCCACGCTACCAGACGCATGATCCTGGACATCACCTCGTAGGGCTGTGGCCTTGGCCCAACAGCTCTAGGGCCTAGGGAGTTTGGCGTGAGGGAGTGTAAGGCTTAGAATGCAGGATGCAGAACCCGACACAGGACCATGACACCTTGCAATGAGTTCGGCACTTTTCCGGCTCAGCTAGCACAGGGGAGAGCAACAAGGCAGACCTCAGCATCAAACGATCCTTCACATGGAGTTAGGGACTAAAAGGTTCAGGGACGAGGGACTGTGGGGTCACAATGCCCATGCTACGCTATGCTGGTTCTTGCTTGGACAGTATCATGGTACTGCCCACGACGTTCCTGAGGAGAGTGCAGTCCCCGAAGCTGATCACGATGAACCAGCGAGGCAGCCTCATGTGATTGCAGTGGCCGTGCTTCCTCTCCTTTGCTTTTTCAGATAGCACACCTGTTTAATGTCTGACCGATAACAGATGACACATAGCACGGACCATGTAATACATAACACATATATATATATATATATGAATATATATATATATAAGTATTTACTTATTTATGCATGTACACACATATATATATATATACATATATATATATATGTTTGTTTATTTATTTATTCCTTTATTTCTACATATGTACATACATATATATATATATATACATACATATGTACTGATATACAATCTAGTGTCTTCGTCCCCTCTGCCTCGTCGTGGTCATTGGCCCAACAGCTCAGGCCCTCAAAGGCAGCATTGATGATGTGCATCTCCACCCTCAGTGCAAATTTACGAAGGCACATGCGCAACCGGTCATAACACAACAAGTTGCCGGCAGTACATATAATGCAAGTACGAAGAACTGCATGGTATAACACCTCCCCAAAACTCCAAAGGCATCATGCCACGTTGAGGATAGGCGTACCAGAGAAGATTGACAAGCGACCCATCTGTCAGGGCCCTGGCTGGGCAAAGAGGTCCTCGGATTGAATCAGCTCCTGGTCGGAGACTTGTCGCAAGTCCTACCTAAACACCCAAGAGTAGGCAAAATCATGGCCCAAAACCTATAAAAGGCGATTAGTCTACATACTTTTGGGGTCCAGGTAGAACACCTCACCACAGATGTGGCCGTTGGACGCGCGACGCAGAGACCATACGAGTTCGACACTGGCGGCCTTCGAAGAAGTTTGGAACAGAGCAGGCAGAGGCTGGCTGACATCATGCAATTAGAACAGGGTGTTGGTGTATAATCTACACGATAATTCCAATAACAGCCCCTAATCTCTGTTCTCAAGTGGTAGAGCGGCTCCTTGAAAACATTCAAGAGGCCACCAGCATCCAGACGTGGTTTGTACAAGCCCGGGAAGCAGAAGGAGGCATTCAGCAAGGACCTGGTTCAGTTCTTGCTTGTCGAAGAAGGGCTGCAAGAAATACCAAAACTATTTGGGGGTTCCCGATTAGATTGATACCAATATCATCATTTTGAGATTTGTAATATAGTATAACCCAAAACCCTGTTCGAATTATGAGATTGACGGTGTACAAGAACTCACCTCTTAAGTGCTGATGGCGATGACAACGCCTGAAAGGATGTTGCGCTCTTGGTTATCATTCATGCCAATGCTCTGGACCCTTCTTGTTTTCATATGACTCTTGTTTCTGAAAACAGCTCTTCAGCTCCACACCAAGGCAGGTCGTTTCTGTTCTAAGGCACGAGTTGCCGAGTCAGCCAAGCTTTCTGAAGTTGTGGGTTGAGGGCTCCGGGTAGCAGCGTCATCTTAAACAAAGAGTGATCTCCGCGTCATGGTTGCTGAGGGTCCGTCGGTGCTGCAAAAGCCGCCGCCAAGCAGCTCCTGTCATCTAACAGATTAAGACACTTGAGAGCTTGCTCTACAGCAGCTTGTTCAGAACTGATTCGGGTACATCAGAGCAATGCCAAGCATGCTAACACACATACACCAATACCCTTCAACATGCATAAGGAGACAGATGTGCAAATCAACGACAGATGCATAGATGGATAGGCAGAAAGAGAAGGCGAGAGACACTGCGACATCGCTCCTATTTTGGCCAAAGCTCCTGTGGGTTGCGAAGCAAAAGGCTAAGTAGCAGCAGCAAGCTCTGAGCACGTGCCCAACCCCTGACCCCCTCGTGGATCTTCGACTGCAATCATAGCAATGCAGGGACCAAGACAAATTCGTTCAAAGAGGATTATCCTAAGTTTTTTCTACTACCACCATTTATTTCGGGGACCCTGATTTGGGCCATGCTCCTCAATGAATTCGGACAGGCTCCATATAACGAAAGCTGGGCCGTGGCACAGCCAGCAAAATAAGATGCAAGGCACTGCAGGGGCAGCAGGGTTTCACCAAGATAACTCTGGCTGTCTTGGCTGCAGGGGTGTAGGTTGTGTGCGACAAAAGCCTGGCAGTACCTTGCTCCGCAAAAAAGGTGTGAATGTCACACCGTACCAAAGCCATGTCCCAAAACTTGACTAGCCGAATGGCAACGGCCTCTAAGCCTGAACAAATGCGAAACTACGTTCCCGCTTGCCAGCGAATCTTTCTCGCAGCGGCAAGACGGTGTCTAGGTCTATGGGGTCTACTCGCTCGTGGACAGAACGGCGAGTGAACTGGGCGGCTGTATGCGGCTGTTCAACCCACACACAGTTGGAAACTGCAGAGCCTCTGAACCTATGGCCTCACTCTCTTGCTGCCCGCGGCAGCATCGAGGATTCAGGGCTTCTTCAGCTTGCTACTCCCATGTTTGCGCCCAAGACAGAACTAAGGAAGAACATAACTTAAAACTGCCAGAACCTGCCGCTGCCTCCGCGGCATCATTGCGTTCAGCGCCCAACTCTGTACCACACAGGGCTGTTGTAGCTCTCCAGTGTGAAAGAAGCGTTGCTCAACAGGTGCTTCCTGAAAGCACGGAAGACAGCTGCATCACAGTGGCATCACATCACCTGACCTGCATCCCGAAACCTTGAACCTAAATCCCCAAATTGGAAACCCCTTGGCCCTGAAAACCCTGCGCCCTTGACCCTGCAGTCTACATGCAGATCCCACCCGTCCTGCCCAAGCTTTGCCTCGGCATCTGTTCACACTTTGTTGGCCTGGTCGGGCTCTGCGAAAGCACGCGAGGGCCTTCGGATCTTTAGCTGTTGGAAGACTTTGCCGGGTCCTCACCTGCGACTTTTAGCAAAACCGACAAGAAGTATCTTGGACCCTGAACCCTAAACCCGCAACCCGAGGTTGTGACAGCGGCCTGATATTCAGGAAAAGGGCATCGCGCTGAGGCTTGCCGACGTCATGAGAGGATTCCGACCTCAGAACAGTGCGAACTTGCGGGTTTAGGGTCCTGTCCAGGTCTAGGGGACCTCGGAACAGTGTGAACTTGGGGACTGTCATGCCCAGGTTACCGTCATACCTAGCATCGTAACTACGTAAGCCTGGATTGAACTTTAGTATATACAACGGGATCTCTCTCCGTGTGTACATGTGTATATATATATATATATTATGTATATCCAATGTATACATATGCCTTTGTACATGTAAGTAATTGCATGCCTGCATGTATACATATACATATAGATATATGTACATACACAGCCATACATATATAAAGGCAAGCAGAACACGTGCATCATGCTTCCACGTGCCTCCGTCCCCGGCTGCAGGAAGAGACTGAGGAGGATCGCTGGCTGAACTGGCCGGAAGTTCGCCTCAGAACCCAATACCCCTTAATTAAGGAATATACCTCAAATCATAGTATTAAGGCCCCTATAATTTAAGCTATATTCCTTGTTTAAGGGGTATTTGGTTCTCTGGGTTCGCCTCAGAAGGGAAGAGGACGAGGAGGATCTCGGGCTCGACTGGCCGGAAGTACTCCTGAGACACAAAGAAGACAAGCCACGTAACGACGCCCATACACCGTTGCGCACGTGCCGGCGCATCCCTTGGTGCAACCACACACACATGTGTATATATATATATACACATATACATCTATTTATTTATTCTTTTATTCATAATTATTTATGTAATGATTTATTCATGTATGTTGTTACACATCTGTTCCTGTGTTTGCTTATGTGTTGTGACTATTTGTCTGTTTGTCTATTTTTATCTTTGTATTCATGTATGTATATTTGCATGCATGTTTGCATGTACCTATGTGTGTGTAATATATATATATATATACACATAAATGTAGGCACGCTTGTATGGACAGATAGATAGATAGATCGACAGATCGGTGTGTGTGTGTGTGTGTGTGCATGCGCGTGCGTAAGCGCGTGAATGTGTATACATACGTCTAAATAAATACTTATATTTATACACATGTATATACACCCACATACATGCAGATACGCACGTACACATACACTGATGGTCGCCCCCCCATCAGAGCATTTTCGACATCTCACCCCTCCGCTTCACTTCTGCAGTTCATCCCTAACCACTCCTTTCATCTCTACCCTCCCTGCACGTACACGACAGTTTACTCGACATCCACGTCAAACCTAACACGCAACGCATTCATGCTTCTTGGATTCACTGACTGAACATCGAAGATCCCATTGGGAACTTCTCATGTCAATGTTCAGAGCAGCGCAGCCAAATATGTTCGTGTTGACTAAATGTTCAGAGCAGCGCAGCCAAATATGTTCGTGTTGACTGATTTGTCAGGTAGGTCTATGTTGCAAAGATTCGGCCCCTGAATCAATCATAGATCCTACTCGGGTGTCTTCTTGGATCAATGGCCTGATGGGCTTCGTGCCCGCGGCTGGGGCCCCAAATCGCGGGCCCAATGCCTTGGATCCTCATAACTTCATTTACGGCTTTTCAATGTCAGTAGTCCAGTTGCCAGAAACAAGAGATAACACAAGATTCGGAGAGAACAAACATCATATTGTATTTTAATGCACTATTCCGTATTACATTAATTACAACGTATTCTAATAGTATACTTTGAGCTGTCTCTCTGTATCTCCTTGCTATACCTGCACATCTTGACAACAGGGTTTACACTGGTGACACTTTTGGGTTCTTGCCCTCGAGTGGTCTTCGGGCGGTGTGTTAATCTTGCTTTGGGTGTGCACAGCTTTGACTACTTTTGCTCTGCCGCCGTGAACTAACTCTGTTGGGCCCAGATGTTCCTGGAGTAGTCTGTAGGCGTGTAGGGCTTGGAATACTCTGCCTTTCACTCTTTGGCAGCTGTGCTTGAGCAAGGATTGTCATCGTAAGCCCTAAACCCTAAAACCCTAAAGCCCTAAACCCTAAACCCTGCCGACAGCAATGTGGGTACCAACGCTTTCTAGCAGCCCCCCCTCGGAGACATGTCATGGATTCTCCCGGCCTGGGTCCGAGATTGAACCGAATAATATAGATCCGAAATTGAACCGAAGAATATAGAATACATAATAATATATCACATATAATACATCGTATATACAATATAGTATGTAGGATACAGTATATGGTATCTAGTATTTAATAGACAACATCTAGTACATAACATGTAACTGATTCAACCAAGGATTTAGGGTCCTTGGGTATAGGGCTTGGGGTTTGAGAATCGATAGCTAATAAACCCTAAACCCTAAACCCTAAAACCTAAACCCTAACCCTAAACCCTAAATCCTAAACCCTAAACCCTAAACCCTAAAGCCAAACCCTAAACCCAAGAGAAACTGTGAGTTGGACCGCACATCCTGGCCTGCTCGCGCTACCGGCAGCACCACCGGTTCGACTCAACGACTCTTTCCACCACCTGCAAACTTCTCCGAAAGGGTTCCAAGTAGCCATATAGTAGAATGTAGGGTTTCTATCAAACGCCCAAAGGGTTCTAAGTACATTATATAGTAGAATGGAGGGTTTCTATAATAGGAACTACTATATATGGTTTGGGCAAGTATCCGCCATGTAGGAACATAGGACCCGTTGGGACTGCGAGGAAGGAAGCAGGAGCCAGAGCCTAGGGCAGGATTTCATGTCGACCCCTAGTTGCTACGGTTTTGGGGTTTAGGGTTTAGGTCCCTTTCCGGACTACCATGCCATCATCCTGAGTATCGCCCAGGCAGAAGAGGAGGGGCTTGTTGGTCGCGGGACTACATCATGTAGAGGTTTAGAGGTCAAGCTCACCGGGCGGGGAGTCCATTTCGTCACTTCGTCTGCAACATAGTAGCAGATGCCACTGAAACTACTAGTATGACCTATGATCCCAATGCTGCACTCTCTACACCCTCAATGCTGACAGCTCAACCTTAAACCCTTAAACATCTGAGGACGAGGCTGTGGCCAGTTTTGAGGCGAGTCTTTGCTGACTCCCGCAGGCGCACGAGCAAAATCCATGGCTTTCAGAGTGCGGCAAGGCCAACGCTAGA